ACAGACGAGTCCAAACCAGTATCACCACTCAGAGCTTCAGAGTTTCGCAGAATAATACTCTTTTCAAGTTAGTCTCTGTAGATACAACTATGTCAACTTATATTATGTTGCATTGGAGAAATAGTTAACATCCAGAATAGTTTTTTTATGCATTGCAGTTTTGGCAAATTAAATTTGATTGCCCGTACATTAAGAAATTCTGTAACTATCATTAAAAATGATTAATTTAGAGTTTTTGGAAAGAGGTTGCCATAGATATGAAAACAAAATAATAAGAAGACATTTTAGCTAAGAGCTTAGACTTACTTAGCACATTTGAAATTGTGCCAACCTGTATAAGATTGGGTCAAGGATATTTGGTATACAGTTAGTAATTTATAGCTTGGCATTATATGAAGTCACTTTTTACCTTATGCAGTGTTAGTTTTTTTCCTTCTTGTTTTTGAACATGATGTGTGATTTGTGTGCAGAGTGAGTTTCTTTTGTGTCTTCATCCATGGAGTCTCTGCTTTCCTGCTTTCCCTTGAGGGCTGGGCCCACTGCGTACCTAGGAGAAGCTGCTGCTTTGAGTAGCGCTTGCTGAACTCTGAGGGAAGCACTCTCCAGGCCACTCACAGGCCTGAAGATCCAGTGTTGGGTTCTGTTAGTATATCTTCCTTCCTTCCTTCCTTCCTTCCTTCCTTCCTTCCTTCCTTCCTTCCTTCCTTCCTTCCTTCCTTCCTTCCTTCCTTCCTTCCTTCCTTCCTTTCTTTTCTTTCTTTCTTTCCTTCTTTTCTTTCTTTCTTTGTTGTGAGGCCTAAACTCTGGGCCTGGGTATTGTCCCTCAGCTCTTCAGCTCAAGGCAAGTGCTCTACCACTTGAGCCACAGTTGCCACTTCCAGTTTTTTTTTTTTCTGCTTATGTGGTGCTGAGGAAGCGAACCCAGGGCCTCATGCATGCGAGGCAAGCGCTCTACCACGGAGCCACCTTCCCAGCCCCTGTTAGTGTATTTACATTTAAGGGATTCAGAGATCTCCCCCCCCCCCCCCCACCACCACCATAGTTAGCTCTGAACTTATTTTTCAGAGTTATTTTATTTTATTTTTTTGTGGTAATTGGTTGGATGGCAGCAGCGCTGCTGCTTCTATCAGTGAGGTGGCCCACAGGCCTGCATGCAGGGCTCTGCGTAAGCTAGGCCAGCGTCCAGGCCCTCAGCGCAGTTCTGCTACCCTGGAGCCCCAAGACCTGCGCAGTTCCCATAGTTCATGGCATGAGCCAAGGTTTGTTACTTCCTTCTTTGTTTCCCCTTCCCATCCGAGAGTTTTGTTTTTTTCTTTCTTTTAATTAATTAGAGTTGTGGAGAATGCTGCATCTGTGCCTGTGGCTCCCTGACAGTGACAGGAGGAGCAAGTGCAGCTACAGTGGTACCACAGTAGTACCAGTCACCCCCGGGGCGGGTCAGGCACAGCCCTGCTTACACACAGCCCTGCTGTGTGCAGATGGAACACCGCCTTGCAGCGAGTTCCAGGGGCCCAGCTCACTGCCCTTAGGGCAGACCCTGGCTGTGAGCTTTCTGGGACAGGGATAGGACAGTCGTACAGGAAGTTGCAGAGCAGGCATGAGCCCGGGCGCAGGCCCTGGCCCTTCCTCCCGGGGTGGGGGAACACGTCGCAGGCTGCTCTCAGGGCATCAGTCAGAGTACTGGGCTGGGGAGCAGTGGATGGGTGTTGTTTAAGTGTCCCTTGGACTTGGTTCCCTCCCCTGGACCATGTGAGAGAACGTGGTGTTAGGTTAGGGAGGTTCTCTTGTAGCTTGAGGATAAAGTGAGAATCCAATGAGGGAAGTGCAGCGGTGCTGAAATGGGTGGTCTGTCCTGGGGTTGCGCTCCAAGATGCCCAGTGGATGCCCAAGACTGCAGACACCGTGCATATATCCATATAAACATCCACATGAGCATGCAAACTACACACATGCATGCTGATGCACACACACACACAAAAACGTACACACCTGTGTACAAACACCCACACATGCATACATGCGTACAGATGCACACAATGCATACAAACACACATGCATCAAAAGTACATACATACACACCCATACATGCATGCAAATGCACACACATGTATACAAATGTACACACATGCACACAAACATACATACAAACACACATGCATGCACATAAACATCCCTATGTGCATACAAATGTACACATGCACACAAGCATACATGCATGCATACAAACATCCATACATGCATACAAATGTAAATACATGCATACAAACATCCATACATGAATACAAAAGTACATACATCCATATAAACGCACATACGTGCATACAAACGTACGTACATACTTGGGATAAGATATAATTTTGATCAATAAGATTAACAACACTATCCAATAGTAAACTAGAACAGTTGCAACAAAGCACTGTACAAAGGTTATCTTCCTGCATTTTCAGTTTCACTCAAAGGAAGCACTTGATGGCTTTTCTTTGGTATAGCCACATGGCCAGTCACTATTCTGGAGCTTTTGGGCACTGTTAAATAAAATAAGGGTCCCTTGCATGCAAGCAGATAGTGGATTTGATAACCCAGATGGCCATTAAGTGACTAATGAGCAGGCAGCACATTCAGTGAAGAAACACATCCAATTCACAGAGCGGAGAGCTCTGCTCAGAACTCATTAAGCTGCTGTTCCTGGAGTTTTCCTTGTAATACAGTACCCTGTGACTGCAGTTGTACGAGAGTAACTGAGGCTGAGGAAGAGGCCACAGAAGATGAGGGGAACTGCTGTGCCTTGGCCATTAGAAAACCTGTGCTGTAGTGATGTGTTCTCCGTGGAGACTGGCCTAGCTACCCTTCCTCCAGGGTTTGATTCACGGAGGAGAAGGAACGCCTTGGCTGGAAGCTGCCTTGGCAGATGTCAGCAGTGTTCTCGGTGGCTTCAGGAAGATAGCAGAAATGGGTTAACGAAACTTGTTTTAGTCCTCAGAGGCTAAGTCTGAAATAAAATAACCAGCCTGCGCCAGGGATTATTGGCTCTGATCACTTAACTATTGGAAGATGACTAGGGAATACCTCCATTTTTCTTTGATTTCCAGCCCTTTCTCCTGACAGTGAGTGAAGAGACTGTTTTTAAGTTTATAGGGAGGAGATTCTGGACTGTGGTCCCCCCCCCCCCCCCCCCCCCCGCTAAATTAACTCCTTTGTTCACCCTTCCTCCCTCCATTCCTGTGTCCTCTCTTTGCACCCCCCATGTTTCCACTTCTTGGTATTCATTTTGGTAAACCATACACTAGTTCTTCTTTGGACTCCTCTCCTGAGTGTATCATCCTTCAGTCAGTTTGTGTGTAAATGCATTGAGTTCTGTATATGTTATCATGCCTAGTTGTATTTTAGATCTAGCTTCCACATATGAGAGAAAACATGTGCTGTTTGTCTCTGCGCCTGACTTACTTCACTTAACGTGATTTGTTCTAGGTCCATCCATTTCCCTGTAAATATATATTATTCTTTCTATTGGATGAGTAAAATTCATATATATCATATTTCTTGATCCACTCATCCATTGTATGGCATCTGGGCTGTTTGCATAACTTGGCTGTTGTGATTAGTGCAGCAATTAACGGGGATATATTGTATTTATTGTATTCTGACTTGGATTGCTCTTGGATTTGCCCAAGAGTGGCAATACTGGGGTTTGAACTTAGGCTTGGTGCTTATTCCTAAGCAGATATTCTATTGAGCCCTGCCTCCATCCCCTCCCCCCTTTTTTTGGTTGGTCATGGGGTTTGAACTCTGGGCTTGGGCACTGTCCCTCAGCTTTTCAGCTCAAGGCAAGCCACTTCTGGTTTTCTGGTGGTTTATTGGAGATAAGAGTTTCAAGGACTTTCCTCCCCAGGCTGGCTTTGAATCACAATCCTCAGATCTCAGCCTCCTGAGTAGCTAGGATTATAGGCATGAGCCACCAGCACCCAGCCTCCATCCCTTTTGCTCTGCTCTGTTTCTTGTCTAGACCAGCCTAGATCCTCCTGCTAATGTGTTCTGCTGTAGCTGGGATGGCAGGTGCATGCCACCATGCCTAGCCTTTTTCTGTTGCCTGGACTGGCCTGAAATTTTGATCCTTCCTCAGTCTCTCTTGTAGCTGTGATTACAGAGCTGTGAGCAACCAGTACCTGGGCCCTATGGGACTTTTTTTTTTCTTTTTTGATCGGTCGTGGGGCCTGAACTCTGGGCCTGGGCGCTGTCCCTCAGCTCTTCAGCTTAAGGTGAGCGCTCTACCACTTGAGCCACAGCAGCACTTCCAACTTTTTCTGCTTATGTGGTGTTGAGGAATCGAACCCAGGGCCTCATGCATGCAAGGCAAGCACTCTACCACTGAGCCACCTTCCCAGCCCCCCACTTATGGGACTTTTATCTCTGGTTTTATCTCTGTTGCATCCCCAACAGATCCCTACTGCTTTTGCATTGTGATAGGCATCTAGTAGGTGCTCCATAAAGGTTTGTTGACTGAGTGAGAGAGTGAAGGATGCCTTCCAGATTCCCTGGGCTTAGCAGCTGGTTGGTGAGCAGGCTGGAAGAAGGTGAATCAGATGATGAGCCCAGTGTATAAAGAATGAGTAATAATGCCGTCATTAGTGCCAGCATATAAATGAATGGATAATTTACAAAAGATACAAATAATGGATGCATATTGGAGAGAATTATTCAGCTTTCCTAATAAGAAGCAGTGGGAATCAGATCATCATGATCATTTTCCTCAGGTAGTATACACCTATAAATAATGGTGAGGTGCTGGCTTTCCAAAGGCATTTGCAGAATGCATCAAATACCTGGGTGTGTGTGTGTGTGTGCAGAGTCTCACCCTACAGCCCAGGCTGTCCTGAACTTGCAGTCCCCTGCCTCTGTGGGTGCAGCGGCAGTCCAAGTGGGCCGGCTGGGGGGGCTGGGGGGCTGGGGTTTGGGAGCACTGTGGGTCCGTGGTGAACTTCATTTCTCTGTTGTGCTTCCAGATGAAGACAGTGAGTGTGGCCCTAGTTCTGTGCCTGAACGTTGGTGTGGACCCTCCAGATGTGGTGAAGACCACGCCCTGTGCACGCTTGGAGTGCTGGATTGGTAAGTGCCAGCCCCCCAGCCCTCCCCACTGCCAACCCCCTCCCCACAAGCCCCCTCCCCCCACCCTGCCAGCCTCCTGCTGGCAGAAATCGGAGATTTTATATCTTAGAAGTATTAAATTTTATATTGTAGTGGAAAAAGGTCTTCTAGGGAAATTGACAAAATAATGGCTATTGGGTTCTATAGTTTTTCCTTTTAAATTTGCCCAAAATATGGCACATACACTTAGAAGATTGAATGGCTGGTTGTTGTGTTTATTTTGGAAAGCTCCACATACTGTACAGTGGCATCTTATGAGTGCTCTCTGATGAGTGCTCCCAGCTGTGATAGTTGTGCTGGCAGCTCTACTTATGAACTCATGTGGCCTCCCCAGAAACCCTGGGGGTAAGCTCTGTTACTAATTTCCATTTTAGAGCTGAGGAACCTGGGGTAGAGAGGAGGATTCTGCCCTAGGCTGTTCTGTAAGTTGCAGAGTTCAGATTTAAACTTCTCTCCTCTGCTCAATTCCCCTTCCCTCCCCTCCCTCCTGACAGTCCCTCTTTCCCCCCTCTCCTGTCCTTTCCTCTCCTCCCTTGTCCTCTCCTCCCGTCTCCACCTTCTGAGATAGTCTCACTCACTGGCTAGGCCCGAGCCTGAACTTCAGTCGGTTTTTGTTGCAGCTGGGATGACAGGTGCGAGCCATCATGCCCATCTTCTTTCTGTTGAGATACAGTCTCATATATTCTCTTCCTTATTCCCTCCTTCTTAAAACGGTTGCTCCATTTTAATCTACATGCATATCAAGTGCTTCACCCCCATTTGCCCTCATTCATGTTTTCTCTTTTCCCATGTTAGCATCAGTTAGTTGTGCCAAGGAATTTTCATTTTGCCATGTCCATGCATGTATATGATGTGCCTTGATCACGCATCTCTACTTTTAGTCTTGGAGAGGCTGCTCTCCTGATCTCCATAGCGGGCACACCATTCTCCTCCTTCCTGGCAGTGCACAGGAGTTCCAGTTTCTCCACATCTTTGACGGCATTTACTGTTTTGGATCTTTTTGAAAATACAATTTTATTGTTATTATTAAGGTGTTACATAGGGGCTGGGAAGGTGGCTCAGTGGTAGAGCCCTTGCCTTGCATGCCTGAGGCCCTGGGTTCGATTCCTCAGCACCCAAAAAAAAAAAACCCCAAAAAGGTGTTACATAGAGGGGTCACCATGACATAAGTCAGGAATTGAGTACATTATTTCCCCAGTTTCCCCCTCTCCCTTGTTTTGGATTTTTTTTTTTTTTTTTTTTTTGGTCATAAGATTTAAACTCAGAGCATGGTTGCTGTCCCTGAGCTTTTTTGCTCAATGCTAGTGCTCTGTCACTTTGCACCACAGTACCACTTCTGGTTTTCTGTTGGTTAAATGGAGATAAGAGTTTTCCTGACTTCCCTGCCTGGGCTGGCATTGAACCACAATCCTCAGATCTCAGCCTTCTGAGTAGCTAGGATTACAGGCATGAGCTACCAGTGCCCCTGTTTTTGGTTTTTGACAGTAGCCATCCTAAGGGGTATGAGGTGGTACCTTATTGTGGTTTGATTTGCATTCTCCAAATGACTGATGATGTCAGTCAACTTTTTCTGGGCTTACTGCCCACCAGTATATCTATGGCTGAGAAGTACCTCTTTAGGCCTCCAGCCTTTTTTGAATTTGGTTAGTTGCTTAAAGAACTCTGTTGTGGACGTCTTTATATATTTCTGATAGTAGTCTATTATCAGATGCTTTGACAATATTTTTTTCCATCTTCAGTCTTAACCATTTCACCATTACCTACTTTTTCCTGTAGCTTCAGATTTATTACAATTTATGTCCAGTAAAATTCACCTTTTTGGGCATTGAATTGGACAGCTTTCCACCACAGCGACAGAATCTCTGATGTAAGCAAGTTGAAGGAGGAAAGACTTTATTTTGTCTCACAGCTTCAGAGATCTCAATCCATGTTGCCCAGCTCCACAGCTTCAGGCCTGACGCGAGACAGGAACATAATAGAGGTGGGAGCGTGTGGCACAGACGGCTCACCTCGTGGTTGGCCAGGAAGCAGAAAGACAGGAAGGCGCCTCACAAGATAAGCTCTTCCTTAGCTACTTCCTCCCACCAGCCCCACCTGCAAGCCCATTCAGCATGAACCCATCTGTGGGTCAATTCATTGATGAAGTTACTGTCCCATGACTCAGTCTCCAGCCAAGGACTAAACCATCAACACAGAGCTTTTCAGAGGCCACTTCACACACAAAAATGGTGCAGGGAATACATTGGAAAAGCATGACTGTGTGACTGCAGTGCAGTCGAGGTACAGAGCACGCCCTCACAGTAAGAGAGTGATCTGTGCCCTCCTCCTCTGTCCTTAGTGCCTGGAAAGCAGGACCTGATTTTTGAGCTTGCGTTTTCCCTTTTATAGAACATCCTGTGAAGGGAATCAGTATGGTTGTGAGAACGTTGTTTTCACATCTTACTTCTTTGACTTAGAATGCACTGGACCGTCAGCTGTGCTGTTGTATGTATTAATAACTTGTTCTGTTTCTGCATAATTTTATTGTGCTATCATTGGTTGGATTATAGTTTTTCCCATTGACCAGTTGATAGAGGTTTGAGGTAATTCCAGTTTTGGCTAATTATTTGACAAACTTCCTATTGACCGTGGGTCTTTGTGTGGACGTGGTTTTTGGTGAGGCAGTATCTAGAACAGGAATTATTATTTGATAAATTATTATTTGATAAACTTCCTGTTGACGGTTGGTCTTTGTGTGGAACGTGGTTTTTGGTGAGGCAATATTTAGAACTGGAATTACTAGGTCACATTAAGTACATGTTCAGTGATTCCCCTCATACCTCCTCTTCTCTCTGTGGTGCTAGAGTGTGAATTCAGGGTCTTGCACTTACTAGGCAGGTAAACCACTGGTGATCTATTCCCCAGGGTCCCCTCCTTCCCTTTTTTTTTTTTTTTTGTTGGTCATGGGGCTTGAACTCAAGACCTAGACACTGTCCCTGGTGCTGGTGCTCTACCTTGAGCTCCATTTCTGGTTTTCAGCTGGTTAATTAATTGAAGAGTTTCATGTCTTTGAACCATAATCCTCAGATCTCAGCTTCTTGAGTAGCTCAGATTTACAGGCGTGAGCCACCTGGCAGCCCTGTTTTTGCTGGTTATTTTTGAGGTAGGTCTTGCTTCCTACCCAGTGTGTGCCTGAGCTGCCATCCCCCTTCAGCGTTCCACTTTTGCTGGGATCCCAGGCTCATGGGCACCACGTCTGCCTTCTCTCCGTGGAGATGGAGTCTGGAGAATTTCTTTGCCCAGGCTGGCATCAGAACTATAATCCTCCCTTTTCAGTCTTTCAGGTAGCTGGGGTTACAGGTATGAGACACTGGCACCTTTTTAAAAAAAAAAATTGGCTTCACTCTTCCCAGATAGCAGCAGTTTCTGTGTTTGGTTTCCTTCTCACAGGGCTCTGGTCTCAAGGAAGTTAGTTTGTTTAGCGTCCTGTCATTTCAGATTTCTGGTGAGCACAAGAATCATGATGTTACCTCTTCACCATAGGATTGGGGTAGATTAAAAAAAAAAATTCCAGCGGAAGCAGAAGTTCCCTTTGTAACTTTAACAGAAATTACAATTTATCCTTCTTTGAACTGGAGGGAACAGTGTGTTTTCCTGGTGTCTTTGGCTGATGTGCCGTCTGGATGTCTTGAGATGACAAGCCTGCCTTACAGCAGCCCCCTTTACTCTTTTCTTGGGTGTTTCAGGGTGAAGCATCCTGAACTGGATTCTCAGTGTGTGCCCACAAAGATTACAGCCTTTCTGGGATGGGTAGCGATGCTCAGATTTCAGCCTCCTAAGTAGTTAGGATTACAGGTGTGAGCCACTGGTGCCCAGCTGTGAAACATACTTCTATTAATTTTTCCAGATAGGAAGGAGAATCAAACTCGATAATCAAACACAAAAGCAAGCACAGAACCTAACAAACAAATCTGTACAGCAGTCTCGGGGCTGATTCACAGTAGACATTCCATATCTAATAATTTCTCTTACAGCTCTTTTTGAATTTCAGCTCAGAAACTTCCTTTGATCAGCCTGGGCTGTTACTGTTTTCATCTGTTCACTGAGAAGGTAGACTTCAGGAACTTTCTAGTGTATCTCACGACACTAAGAGTTTATGAAAGACGCTTGGGAGAAGGCGGATAGGCCGGCAAATGGCTGGGACGGATGGAGTCGCTGTGTTCCATAAGGGCGCCAGCCACAAGTGGCTGTTGAGCGCCTGAAATGCAGCGTCAGCTTAAAACACATGAAGTATCCTCGCAAGTATTGATCACACGTTGAAATGATTTTGTAGATACTAGATTAAATAATGTGTGCAAATTAAACCTTGAATTTTTAGCTAAGATTAATTGTGTCAGTTTCTTCCATTCTTACTTTGCAAATGTGGCTACTAGAAAATTTAAAACTCCCTGGTGCCTCCGCAATGTTTCTGCTGGTCAGTGTGAGACACCAGTGTCTGTAGCCGAGCCGTCTGGAGGGACTGCAACCCCACCCCCGTGGGTCAGGATACTTCATGTTCAGCTGGCGTACATTTGACTCCTCTTCTTCAAAGAAGGGATATTGAGCCAGTACAGCAGCTGGTACTCATAGGTACCTGAGCGATGGAGAGACCTGACAGTGGACACTGCCTTCACAGTGTCTTTCTCTGTGACAGGTCCTCAGCCTTCTCTTGGCTTCCTCGAGGGATTGCCATGTTCTCCAGTGTCTTTGGTTTGGGCAAAAGAGTGCTGTCTGGACTCACTGCAGAGCTCTTGGTGCCAGGTTAGCTGGTGCATGGGCTCCTTTTTTTTTTTTTTAAATCAAGGTGTGAGGTTCACAGAGCTTAGTTCCCGAGAAGCCCGGACCTGCTGGACTGCCTTGGAGCCAGCTCCAGGGGAGTCCGCGTCCATGCACTCTGGCAGCCAGTGCTGACTGAGCTCCCCTCTGCCCACAGCTTCATCCCT